TGTTAAAAAAGATTATATCGGCGTCACTACCAGAAACTTGGGAGTAAGGCTCAAAGAACATAGATACGCCATAAGAAAAGCATCTAATTCAACGATATTGTCACAAATGGCGCAAGCGCAAGGCTCTGAGGTTAAATGGGATGAGGCAACAATCATCAAGCCTCTGTCTTCCCCATCTCTAGCAATGACGGCGGAGAAAATTGAAATATACAGAAGTAGGATAGGGGAAGGCTGTTTAAATGCGAGAGATGCGGAGAGCCTACCATCGGCATGGAAATATTTGGTTAAGAAATATACTAGAAACTTCGACCAGAATTAATCCATTGAAGATTTATGTTATTTTTGTTTTAATTAATTAATTAATTTATTTGTTTATTTATTCTTCCGTTATTTTTCTCTTGTAAAATTTTTGATTTAAATAATTTTTATGTTCTATTTATGGAACATTTGCGTTCCATTTTTTCGACCTGAAGATGGCCTATTAACTAGGCTGAAAACATTTGTTTTTGCAAATTATATTTGTTTTTGCAAATTATATTTATTTCTCGGCAAAAAAAGGTGTTTTGTTTATTATTATTTAGTTGCTGAGCGCTTTTGATATTGCCCAAATTTCTTTTGTTCTATAAAAAGAATAGAATTTAGACGTTAATTTAGCATTTTTTGATTTTACATTACATTCTTTGATTGTAAAGAGTGATTTTTTTAATAGCACACTCAAATATGATTTTGATTTAACATTTACAGGATAAAAGAGTATTGGGCTATTTTTGTTTCCTGAGTTTTTTTGCTGTTGCACTTTTGCATAAGCAAAAAATGGACTGGATTAAAGACTGATTTGCATTATATATTTGCATTTTGAAATACTGTACAGCTCATTTCGTGAATCTTGACTGGGCCATAACAATGCACAATAGCAGGGACTAGTTTATTTTCTTAGTGAAGAGAACAGATTGTTGATGAATCTTTGGTAAGATCATTGTGCATTACTGTAAAGGGATTCTTAAACTTTTTAAAAATTCCAAAACCCCAACTGAGTATCATGCATTGCCCATTTAAGATGTATGAAACAATAATTGATATATTAATATGTATACATTTAATCAAGATATATAAAACTTACATAATAAAAACTATTGTGATTTGTTTGTAAAATACAGAAGATACAAAAATGTCTTCATATCTGCCCTTTCCAACACCAGGAACTAACAGTCTTCCTTAGCAGAAACGACTTGTTATTATAGGCTACAAATCTGCTACAATATGCAAAACAGTTAAAAAGGGCAGAAATGAAGATGTCTTTGTATCTTCTGTATTTTATATATATTGTAAATATACTGTCTGCCGTTTTTAAATTATTATTGTCGTTGTAATTCCATTCATTTTCATCAACTGGTATAATATAAATTTTAAAATGTTACCATTAAATTTTTGTACTATTGAAGTAATAGAAGAGATTACTATGCATAAATATTAATTACATTTATCACAATTGCTTTTTTATTATCATTTTACCAAACCCATATTCTAAGCTTCCTTGGTTTTAGACTGAATTATGCTTGTCCTTGAGAAAACATTAAATAGGGAATCTGTTGTAGTATATTCCTTTTTCAGATTATATATATACAGTAGAGTCCCTGAAAACTTGACTCCTGATAACTCAACAGAGTAAGAGAAAATCAATTTCAGTAAACTTTGTGGAAATCTGGAAAAGAATGTAGCAAAACAACTTGTAATATTGATTAATACTTATATTAATTAAATTATCAACAACCATGAGGCAGATAATAGTGATGGCTACTGATGATGCTTACTGCTCATACAGTTACAGCAGTGTTTTCATCTGTATATTGTATAGCTTTAGGCATAGTTTTAAATTTACCTTTACCTTGTATAATTTTAATATACTATTACCTTTAGTTAATACCAACTGATGAGGGACCATTTTCTATCGGAAAATAGTCCGAAATGAATTTTGGATTTTTTCGTTTCCATACTTATGTAGTCATTCTTGTGTTTATTATACGTTTTCACTTTGATTCCTGAGCGTTTGTGCCCATCATTGGTCTGATATTCCCTCACTATTATCTGCCTCACGGTTGTTGATAATTTAATTAATATAATTATACCAAGGGCTAGAAACTTTTGTAATAATTTGATTAATACTTGTTACAGGACATCTTTTTAAGATTAGAATTAACTTGAATTTATTTTATTTGACTTCAAAATAAAATATTGAAAATTTTAAAAGTCATTTCTAATTAATTATAAATCTGTAAATAATAATTATCCACACAAAATTACAGTATAAATAACATGTGGCAATGTATAACCCACACTAGTATACAGTACATACTGCAGAAAATTATTAGAATGGAAATAAAATCTTTCCATAACCTGCATAGTTCCACTAGTTGTTTATTTTTTTATTGTTTTATTTTATTTTTAATATTTTATTTATCAAATCATATTAATTATACATGTTCATCAAAAGCTAAGCTTTACATGGTAAAGAGTTAGAGGTTTGTAATGGTCCAGATCAAGGATGAATTGGCAGATAACCCAAGTCATCACACAACCATAATTCTGTGTAGATTATTCCACAGAATTACTGTAATTTATCATCGTAAATGATATTAGAAATAGGATATTTTTATACCACTCACTCTGACGCTCTTTGCCTTTTAAATTCTTTTAATGATTGTATGAAATACAGGTAACCCTCATGAAACACTGTTTCACTCTAACGTGGTTTTGGAAGTCCTCTGTAGAAAATTTCACAATTTTAAGTGTAAACTTTGTTATTTGATATTTTTTTAAAATTCAATTAAGTACATTCCATCTCAAATTTGCCGATGGATTTCAGAATATTGAAAATTTTCAAATTATTTTGTGCTTTTTCTCAGGTTTACTATAACTGTACTATACGATAGTGCAACTTTTTTTCTTCCTTGTCCCAACTTTCCTATTAACCAGATATCATCATTGCTTTCAGACTGTAGCCCTTAACACTGTCACTGAGTTTTGTTTTTATATATTAATCTTCGTATTTAGTAAAGTTATTTAAACATTTTTAGATAATTGCTATTAAACTTTTCTTAAACTGTAGGTAAGCAGTCATTCTTAAAATGACGAACAAAATACAGCAGTATCATTTGGTATTCAAATACAAATTCTAGAAAAAAGTTGCTTGGTACTTGACTGAATAAATGCAACCTGCCAATACAAATTTTTGATTAATAACATATTCTTATTTCATCATCCATAAAAAATTTTATGATAAAAATAGAAAATATGAAAATGTTGCTGATACTTCCAATCAAGATCAGCAAAATAGCCGAGATGACAACGATACTTTGTAAAAAGAAAACTCCCTCATTTAACTAAAATTAATATTAACATGCAATGCAGTACTTTTAATTATGATTTGTTAATTAATTATTGATTGGAAATAAATTATGGATTGCTTTAATAAACATATTTCTTTTAGTAATGAAAAAAAAATAACATACTCATTGTTAACTTCTGGAACCTAACCCTATGCTTTGCATTAGTCCTGTGTTTAGTCCACATTGTTTAGTGCACTAATCTGCATAGCACTGCACTTTTTTGGAATGCAACTACCATGTTATATGAGGGATACTTGTTCTATATTTGACTGCTTTATTTAATTTTTGATCATTTCTGTGCAGTAGTAGATGTTAAAAAAGATTATATCGGCGTCACTACCAGAAACTTGGGAGTAAGGCTCAAAGAACATAGATATGCCATAAGAAAAGCATCTAATTCAACGATTTTGTCACAAATGGTGCAAGCGCAAGGCTCTAAGGTTAAATGGGATGAGGCAACAATCATCAAACCTCTGTCTTCCCCAACTCTAGCAATGACGGCGGAGAAAATAGAAATATACAGAAGTAAGATAGGAGAAGGCTGTTTAAATGCGAGAGATGCGGAGAGCCTACCATCGGCATGGAAATATTTGGTTAAGAAATGTACTAGAAACTTCGACCAGAATTAATCCATTGAAGATTTATGTTATTTTTGTTTTAATTTTTTTATATATTCTTCCGTTATTTTTTCTCTTGTAAAATTTTTGATTTAAAAAATTTTTGTTTTATTGATGGAACACTTACGTTCCATTTTTCGACCTGAAGATGGCCTATTAACTAGGCTGAAAACGTTTGTTTTTTAAAATTATATTTATTTCTCGGCAAAAAGGTGTTTTGTTTCTCTTTAATGTAGGAAGGTTCAATATCCTGTTATTTAAAAATTTAAGTTGCTGCCTAAAAATATTGAAATTAAACCGAGGTTTATTACGACGAGCGTGTTTCAAACGACATTTCACAAAACGTAAATATTTCGGCGAAGAAGAAAACAAATCTTAAGTAAAACGAAAAATATCGATAACACAAGAACGAATGGTCGGAAGTCGATAAAATTTGACACGTAGATCAAAAAAGTTAGCAGATGACGACGATACTCGTAATTTGTCTGGACGATGCGTATATCGTACAGAGGTTATTTGTATGGAAGCAGTTCGTTCGTTCGCTCGCTTACTTGACGGCGTGCCTCTACCGAGCCTAGTGACATGAAGTTAGGAACCATCGAATGAATCCATCACACTTGTCAATCTTCACTTTATTTTTATTAATATAAACGGTAACGGTTTTAGTTTTAGACACAGGAAATCCTTAGCCTGTTGTGCTGTCAGGAGCCTCAAATACTTGCAAACAATTATAAGTCTCTCCACACAGTTCGCTCCTAAACTAGTTCGGATACGAATGTTATAAAGTATCATGTAAAGTGTAATTTGGGTTTCATAAGAGAACGCTTACCTAGGAATCTCAAAGTTGCTCTGTTCATAAATAAATTGTTTTCGTACACACCAACATAAATCAATTTCAAGACAATACAAATAATTTATTGAATATATTAGACAAATTAAGTATAGAGCTACAAAAAGTACTTGTATATGAATTAGGATATTCAACACCATCCAAAACGGAAAAGATATAATTATTTCCTACATAAAATAAAGTTTTGCCAATAAAATTCACATAATGAACTAAATTTTATATATATATTTACAAGAGAAGTTATTTGCATTTGTATAACTTGTTAATACATTCAATGTCGGATTCTGACAAAAATCGCCGGTCGTAAACTTCTTTAAGGGTAACATTTGGAAGCGTTGGCATTAAAGTTATTTTACCATCTTTAGCGAAAATTGTAGGCCCATAATGCATAATGCTATCGTAACTATAAGTGCCACATGTTTTAAGGAAGCGGTTAATCTGAAACACTGTCTTATTTCCTGTTTGTTAAAGAAAAGTCATCAGTTCAAACTGCTTATGCATAAAAATATAGTAAACACTTTGACCTACCATCTATAATATTATCCCATAAAATTTTTATATATTTATCACGGTCCGGTCGAGTATGTTCGTGATAGAAGCCAATAGCGTGGCATAATTCGTGAAGTATGATTCCGAGGTTCCAACATCTACTTCCTAAATTAAGAATCTGACGTCCACCTTGTTTCCCTACATGGGAATTACACCTGAAATATATNCTAATACGATAAACGTCGCTTTTACTAATTGTTTTCTCTTTAACGTCTTTCAATCGAACTCCTTCTTTCTTGGCAACCATCGTCTTCTTTTCAGAGTGATCTATCGAAAATATGTATTCGCCATACAACATGATAGAATCGTAATCGAATTCGTTAAATATAAGATTCTTCGAAGGTCTGAGTTTCTTGAATTGATCTTCCATACCTAAAAAAAAATGATAATAATAATGTGTGATGTTACATTCCCAGAATAAGAAGAGTATTGTATGTGAAAGACAATATTTACTGTTCATAGCCAATTCATCGTGTACTTTACCTTTCTGAATATGTTCCCAGAATATTGTTATATGATCATCTCTATCTGACCGACTGTGTTCGTGTGTTCGTGTGTTCGTATGTGCCCGTACGAAAGACAGCCTGGGCCTAAAGAAAGAGGTTGTGATCCTAATGTCTTACCAATGTGGGAATAACACCTACATAAAATACATACAATTATTAATTTATATATAATATTACACGTAATAGTTTTAGATTTTTAAGCAAATCCTCACCCTACTCCTTTAAATACTCTGACGTATGCATTTTGATCTTCCTTAGTTCTAAACTTTAGAGTCCATTTACACACAACAGTGACGAGACCGTGCAGAGATTTTGTGCCGGTAGGAAATCGTTGACCTAGTTTTAAATCACTCTGTCCAGACTCGTTCGTCACAGTGCTGTGCAGTGGCAGTGGCAGTGACCGTGCCGTTAAAGTACATTTGACCGGAACGATATTTACACTGACGGTAAATTTTGTTTTCCAATGGATGACGAAAGTTTAATTTCAGTGGTAAGTCAACACTTTGTTCTATCTGATTTATCACATTCGAAATACATGGACATTTGGTACAAAATGAATATTTCTCTGTTTCTTTTATAAAATATGAAACGCGTGTCGGGAAATTTGAAAATATTCAAAAAATATAGATTCGTCATCTATTAATTATTATAAAGAATATGAAACTCCCATTCTGTTGATCTTTTTTTGTCCATGTTTGATGTATCCACTTTCTGCGCTTTCTTAATTGCACTTATTTTTCTTCTTCATCCAAACATATAGCTATCGTAGCCAATGTCATATCATCCCCAGAACAGTTCTTCACCCACAACAGTGACGTGACCGAGAGCACGGTCACGCCACTGTTGTGTATACTCATCGCTGTGCTCTGCCGGACGTCACTGTCACGAAACGGTCACTGTGCCGGGCACGTCACTGTTGTGTGTAAATGGATCCTAATGGAATATAGAAAGAAAATAAATGGCATATATAATACATGTAAATTATTAAAGGTTAACATATTAGTCAATTCAAGAATATAGGGCCTAAATTAATCATGTCAAATCTGGCAAATTTCTACTAGTTTATCAATATGTAATTTGATTATATAAATTTCTTTTAAACGAATATAACTAAAATAATATATTAGTAGTAATTCAAACACAAATTATTTATTGTATTTATTTTCAGGCACTTGGCAATTTTTATCATCAAATTTTATTTAGTTGAAAAAATGTGGAACGCTTCACGATTTTGCGTACCTTAAAAGACATTTGACAGAAAAGAGACTTTTATTAGCATGACCCCTGTGTAAGGATGACACGCAAAATCGTAAAGCGTTCCATATTTTTTCAACTAAATAAAATTTGATGATAAAAATTGCCAAGTGCCTGAAAATAAATACAATAATAATTTGTGTTTGAATTACTACTAATAACTACTAGCACGGTTTCAAAGTACCAGAATTGTTGCAGCGAAGATTACGGTCTGTGCCTG